TATAAATAACAATGCCTTTAATTCATAGGACAATTAGTAAGAACAAAATGAGATAAAGAATGGAAAACACATGACACTGCCTGGCACTAGTAAAGCATTTTACAAATATTAGCGATTATCATTACACCTCAGTCTTTTTCTTTTAATTAATTTTAATTGGAGGTTAATTACTTTACAACATTGTGGTGATTTCTGTCATACACTGACATGAATCAGCCACGGGTGGACATGTGTCCCCCATACGGAACCCCCTCCCACCTCCCTCCCCACCCCCTCCCTCTGGGTTGTCCCAGAGCACCAGCTTTGGGTGCCGTGCTTCATGCACTGAATTTGCACTGGTCATCTATTTTACATATGATAATATACATGTTTCAATGCTATTCTCTCACATGTCCCACCCTTGCCTTCTCCAACATAGTCCAAATGTCTGTTCTTTACATCTCTGTCTCTTTTGCTGTCTTGCATATAGGGCTGTCATTACTGTCTTTCTAAATTCCATATATATATGTTAAAATACTGTATTGGTATTATTATACCTCAGTCTTTTAAATGGGATAGAAGTCACTGTTTAGAAGTTCACCTGCTTCAAGGCTGGTGATAGGACTTCTTTCAGAATAAAAGGGAAAAATACAACTGGGAACACAACTGGAAAACTGTATCTCCCTGTCTTTTTACCATATGCCAGAATAATATAAATTCCATGGACTTTACACATCCTACTACTGATAAAAGGCAGTATCAACCTGTGATTAAGTTTTGGAATTAACGGAGTTTAATCATATGTCAGTTGTGAACTTCAGTAAGGTATTTAACGTTTCTGACCATGATTCCTCAACTATAAATGTAAATAATAACTGTACCTACCTAATAAAGTTACTGTGGTGATTAAATGACTCGTATCTATGAAGTGACAAGTATGGTAACCTGGGCTACCCATGTGGCTCAGATGGTAAAGAACCTGCCTGCAAAGCAGGAGACCCAGGTTCGATCCCTGGGTTGGGAAGATCCCCTGAAGAAGGGGATGGCAATTCACTCCAGTATTCTTACCTGGAGAATCCCATGGACAGAGAAGACTGGCAGGCTATAGTTCATGGGGTCATACAGAGTTGGACACGACTAAGCAACTATCACTTTCACATGGTAAATGAAATACTGTAGTTATCATTATTTTTGCTTCTCTTATTAGAAAAAGGCAAAAGTTCCTAACCCCTCTAAAATCCTAGAGTGTTTTCATTTTAAAAACTGATGATCTTGAAAAAGATATGTAGACTACATGCTACAGGCAGCAGGCAATTTGAGTATTATAATAGTTGACAGTAGCTTCAAAGCACCAAAAAAAAAAAAACAAAAACATGTCTTTTCATAGATCAGACCTCTTAAAATAGATCTTGTATGTATACAACAGCTATCTATTTATTTGGAGTCATTCTAACAGACACTCTAATAGAAACGGGCCTTGATCATAATATCTCATGATTTTAAATGGCAGTAGCCCAGACTTTCAGGTATAAACGTCAATATGCAACCTGCACTGGAATGCAGATAGTTCTGACAACCATTGTCAAAGAATATATAATTCTTCTACAGTATTTCTCAGGAGAATATCAGTTTTCCCAAATGAATACTAAGCTAGAAGCTACAGAAGTCCTTGTTCCTTAGCTCTGATGCTGATAACATTAGACTGATAATTGTAACTACGATTCAGTCCTTCAACAGATATTTACTGAATGCTACTCTGTCCCAGGCACAACCCCTACCCTTAGAAGTCTTACAGTCTAGAGGGAGACAAACTAGCAATTATGTACAATGTTATAATGGAAAAGCGCAGGTGCTATGGAAACACATGGTAGTACATCTAACCTAGCAGGTAAAGGGGGAAGGAGAAGGAGAAGGAGAAGGGGGCCAGTGAAGAGTTCCTGGAAAAAGCAATAATTAACAGAGGCCTAAATGCTGGTGAGACAGACTAAAGCAAATTTTAGTTTCTTTTAGTTCTAAAAGAACTTGCATGTGGCTAAAGCATTGAGACTGAGGTGGATCATAGGAGCCATCTTCAGTCAGGAAGGATTTAAATTTAAATGGTACAGATATTCAACAAGGTGAGATACAGGAATAAGACAGAAAGCACTGTGTTCATATTTTCTTAAGATCATTTCAGTTTTACAACTCATCTGTTCATCACACACATCCTTGCTACACAGTGTGTTCCACAGACCAGAAAAATCAGAACTTAGAAACCTGTTAAAACTCAGCAGGGTACTGACATAGTTATAAGTATTATTATTAATTTCATTTTAAAGATGAAGCCAAGTAACTGGACAAGGGTATATAGCTGGCAAATAATGAGCCAGACATACATCAAGGAACTTTGAATCAAAATCTATGCCTCTAAAATTTAAACTATACTTTTCTAAAATTACTGAAATAAAGTAAAATCATAGTTTCAAGATTATTCTTTAGCCCAGCTTGTATTTTATATAGTTCAAAAATTTAAAACTTGTTAGCTATGGCCTATTTTATTCACATTCCAAATACATTCCCAATATAGTAGATTTTGTTTGCCATTTCATTTATCTATTAATCTCAATGGTCTGAAATACACTGAAGACAAACAGGAAGCCAAAAAACATGATGCAATGCAGATAAACTAAGGACAGAGAATTCATGTCCTACATGTAATGCACATGACCTAGACATGAGCCCCTCAGAGCCTCACTCTATGCTAAGGCTCCCTAGGTGCCATATAAAGCACTAACCTAGGCAGTAAGAAGGAAGCTAATATAAAAACGACAAGTTTCTGCCTTCAAAGTTCAAACCAACTAATTGATAAAATAAGGCAACATCAAAAATACTATGGGGATACAGAAGAGGGATAAAGACATTTCTGGAAGAGGCAGAAAAAAGCCTCAAAAGAGAGGTCATATTTAAGCATGTCTTTGAAGAAACAAAATAACTGAACCAAGCAGAGAAAAGCAACATTCTCATAACCACAAGCAAAGAGGTGAGAAAGCATAGGAAAAAGACTATTGTTTCTGAATGATGGATTAACATGTATCAGATTTAACCCTCCCACTGCAAACAACTAAAATAAAACTCATACAAAAGTATATGCAGCAAGTTTTAGATTCTGGATAATAGGCGGCCCAGGACAGTGGTTTCTGAGAGAAGGGAAACAAACCCTGCTTTATCAACTAAGTTTATGTAATATTTTAAGTCCTTTGTTGTCATTTCAACAATCTTCACAGCATCTTCACCAGGAGCAGTTTCCATCTCAAGAAACCACTTTCTTGGCCCATCTATAAAAAGTAACACCTTATCTAAGTTTTATCATGAGCTTGTAGCAATTCAATCACATCTTCAGCCTTCACTTCTAATTCAAGTTCTCTGGCTATTTCCACCACATCTGCAGAGCTCTCCTGTGACCATGTACTACCAATGAGCAGTAATATTTTTAAAGTAATCTCCTCTCCAAAGCAATAGATCTCAATGGTGGGCATAAAATATTCAGTAAGCTATGTTGTAAACAGAGGTATGTGCTGTCTTCCAGGCTTTCTTTTTCCATTTATAGACCACAGGCAGAGTAGATTTAGTATAATTCTTAAGGGTCCTAGGATTTCAGTTCAGTTCAGATGCTCAGTCGTGTCTGATTCTTTGCAACCCCCATGGACTGCAGCACACCAGGCCTCCCTGTCCATCACCCACTCCCGGAGTTTACTCAAACTCATGTCCATTGAGTCAGTGATGCCATCCAACCATCTCATCCTCTGTTGTCCCCGTCTCCTCCCACTTCATATCAAGTTCAAAAGTAGACAAAATGAAATGATGTTGTTCAGGGATGCATACAGAGGAAGTAAAGTTATAAAGAAACACATGGGTTTTAGTAGCATAATCATCAGGANACAGAGCATTATTCAGAAGGGCAAAAAATGGAAACAATTCAAATTTTCATCAATGGATGGATGTACAAATAATATGTAGTATATCCATGTAACTAAATTTTATTTAAAAAAAGAAGCAGTGATGCATGCTACAACATGAATGAACCTTGAAATGTTACATTAAATGAAAAAAGTTGATTACAAAAGACTACATATTGTATGATACCATTTATAAAAATTGTACAGAAAAGACACATTTATAGAAACAGAAAACAAATCAGTGCTTGCTTAAGATTTGTGAAAGGGGGCATGTGGATCAATTATTTAATGAGTACACATTTTCTTTCAGAAGAGACAAATCGTGATCATTGCACAACCCTATGAGTAAACACCAAAACACTGATTTATACACTTTCAAATGACCTGTATAGTACATTAATTAAATCTTAATAGAGAAGGCAATGGCAACCCACTCCAGTACTCTTGCCTGGAGAATCCTGTGGACGGAGGAGCCTGGTAGGCTGCAGTCCATGGGGTCTCGAAGAGTCGGACACGACTGAGCGACTTCACTTTCACTTCTCATTTTCATGCACTGGAGAAGGAAATGGCAACCCACTCCAATATTCTTGCCTGGAGAAACCCAGGGACAGGGGAGCCTAGTGGGCTGCCATCTATGGGGTCACACAGAGTTGGACCTGACTGAAGTGACTTAGCAGTAACAGAGTTGTTTAAAAAATTTTTATGCTTTTCTTATGTCATAAAATAACCAGAATAGAGTCTATTTAATTATGTGTGTGTGCAAAATTAGGCAAACTCAACCTATGGTATATGGAGTTAAGGTAGCAGGTTGTCTGGCTAGAGATGCCATGAATGCAAGAGAACATGAAGCTTCTGGGGTTCTGGGGTTCTTATAATGCCTGTTTCTTGACAGGAGATTCTGCTTATGCAGGTGCGTTCAATTTGGAAATGTGAAGTGTGTGTATGTACATTTTATGTATCAATCTCAAAATACTTCAAAAATTTTTTAAAATTTATTTTAGTAAACTTATAAAACTTAAGCCCATGGTGAAAAAGGAAAATCACTGAATGTGGAGGCTAGGCAGTTCGTAAAGTATTCTCACTCACCTTTGTCCTGTAATGCAATTTGCTCTTTATGCAGAAAGACTACCTCCCGTCCCAAAGCTTTCTTCTGTCTTTCCAGTTCATTTCGAAGCACCAAAATTTTTAATTGCAGGCACTCACTTTCTTTTTTCTAAATAATTAAAAATACAGGTAAATTTATGAATATAAAAGTTATGACTGAATAACAACATGCACAATGTTTCAAATGTGAGTGGTTTAAAGCACTTTAATACTCATGTAACTTATAGATCTGAGTGATTTAATTATCAGCATCTGTCATTTTAATGGAACGAATACAGATGTAAGCAAAATACAGATTAGAAATTAATCTAAAGTCTGGGAACAGTTCTTTCTAAAAGACATAAAATATCTCAGGCCTCTTTTCTGACACCATAATGCAATATAACACAAATTAATAATAAAAAAAGGGGTTTCCTTGGTGTTTCAGTGGTTAAGAATCTACCTTGCAATGCAAACACTGGTTCAATCTCTGGTCCCTTCATGCCTCAGAGCAACTAAGTTTATGCGCCACAACTACTGAGTCATGCTCTGGAGCCCACAACCCACAACTACTGAGGCCGGTGCGCCTTAGAGCCTGTGCTCCGCAACAAGAAAAGGCAACAATGAGAAGCCTGCACATCGCAACTAGCGAGTAGCCCTGGCTCGCTGCAGTCAGAGAAAGCCTGCACATAGTAATGAAGACACACCACAGCCAAAAAGTAACTCAATTTTTAAAAAAAAGCCCTAGTGGAATTAGAAATTAGATTGATATTGAACTGAATTAAAAACAATAAAAATAAAGAAACAGAGTTTTCAAGATGTTCAACACAGAGTTACCTTAGGACCCAGCGTTGCACTTAACAGAATTAAAAACATGACTATACAAAAATGTAAATATGACTGTTAGAGCAGCATTACTCATCACAGCCAAAAATGAAATCAATCCAAACGTGCAGTGTCTGATGACTAGGTAAATAAAATGTGGTGAATATACAAAAGATACTATTTGGCAATAACAACAAGTGAAGTACTGATACATGCTACAACATGGATGAATCCTGAAAACATTATACTAATTGAAAAAAGCCAGTTTTCAAAGGCCACCAACTCCCATTTATATGAAATTTCCAAAATAAGCAAATCCACAGAAACAAAAAGACTTCCATCCTCACCAAGCTAAACTAAAGGTGCTCTAATATCTCACAGATTTTGGAGAAACCCAAGTAGGGACCTGGTGTTTTCAACTTATCCAAACAGTAACTAACCAAGCCATACCACAAGGGGAGCCTGGAGCCCTGTTACAGCTGAAACAATGCAACCGTCTTTCTCCCTACTGGGTAATATCAGAGGCGGCCAAGTAGAGAGAACTTTCACTACTATGCAGTGGTATTGAAATCACCCTATCATCTACATGGGCAGCTAGAACTCCCAACCCTAATCAACACTATCAGTTCCTTTTGCGCACTCTCTCTCTCTCTCTCTCTCTCTCTCTCTCTCTCACACACACATACCTCTGCCACACAGGTGTCAATGGAAGCTCCTTGGGGAACTTGGACTTCTACCCCAACCTGGCAGTAATGAGATGGCTGCTCTTCCTTCCTCTACCAGAGTCAGAGGAAGTCAGGTAAAACAGAAGATTTAAATGAGATCCAGAGACTCGCAATATAATACCCCAAATGTACAAGTTTCATTGAAAAGTCACTCATGATATTAAGAACTACGAAGATGTCAAAGTAAATAAAAAAGGATAATCAACAAGTGCCAACACTTGAGACAAACAGAAAATATAATTATCTGACAAAGATCTGAGAGTAGCTATCACAAAAATGCTTCAGTAGAAATTAAGAACCTGTAAGGGAATAGAATCTTAAAATGAGTGGATACATGTGTAACTGATTCACTATGCTGTCCAGCAGAAACTAACACAACATTGTAAATAAACCGTACTCCAAAAAAATTTATTTTAAAAAAGGAATTAAGAACATGCTTGAAACAAATTAAAAAATATAACATCTTGACAAAAAAATAGAAAATCTCAGTAAAGAAAGTGAAAACCTAAGAGCTGAAGTTAAAAAACTCAATGAACGAGCTCAAAAGAAGAATGTAGGAAACAGAGAAAAGAATCTTTAACCTGGAAGACAGAACAATAGAAACTACCCAGTTTAAACAACAGAGATGCAAATTGAACACCTCAGCAATCTGTGGAATGGTACCAAAAGATCTAGCATTTGTATCATCAAGTACCAGGAGGAAAGTAGAAAGTGGGCACAAATGAAAAGTACATGTAGAAATAATGGCTACAAATTTTCCAAATTAGGCAAAATAAATCTACCAATTCAAGAAGTTAGTGAACTCCAAACAGAATAAATTAGATGAAGAAAATCACAATCAATGTAAATGAAACCAAAAGCTATGTTTTTGAAAAGGTCAATACAGATAAAATTCTGACCAGGCTAACCAAAAGAAAAGACAGAAACTACTAATATGAGGAATGAAAGAAAGATCATGATCTTTCAATGATCTCATGGACATTAAAAGAAAAATTTTAAATACTATCAACAACTCTATGCCCATAAATTTGATAACTTAGAAGAAACGGATCAACTCCGTGAAAGACAATCTACCATAACTCACACTAGGAGAAATAGATAATCCACCCAGGGATACACACATACACCCCTCACAGTAGGAGAAATAGATAATCCACCCAGGCATGCATACACATACACAATCCACCCAGGCATGCATACACATACACAATCACACACACACACCCCTCACAGCAGGAGAAATAGATAATCTGCCCAGGCATACACCTACACACACACACACACACACACACACCACACACCATGGAGTATTATTCAGCCATGAAAAAAAAAANCTTTTATACATACATACATACATATATATATATATATGAAATTAAATCAATAATTAATAACCTTCAAAAACATAACGCACCAATCCTGATGGTTTCACTGATGACTTTTACCAAACATTTAAATGAGGCGTAATACCATTTTTTGAAAATCTCTCCCAAAAGTTCCAGAAGAACATTCTATGAGGCCAGCATCATCCTCAAATCAAAATCAAAGACATCACTAGAAAGGAAAATTACAGACCAATATTTCTCATAAACATAGGTGCAAAATCCCCAACAAAATATTGGCAAATCAAATCATCTATATAGATAAAGAGTTAAACCATGGGCAAATGAACTGTATTCCAAGTATGTAAGACAAAGGTTCAGCTTTCAATAATCAATTAATGGATTCACCACATCAACCAGGCTAAAGAAAAAAAACACATAACCATATCAATAGGTACTGAAAAAGCATGCAACAAAATTCAACTAGAAGTAAAGAAGAACTTCATCAATTCAGTAAAAAATACTTGCCAAGAAACCTACTAATATTTGCCAAAATATTTAATGGTGAGAAACCAGATGCTTTCTTCCTATGCTGGACAACAACACAAGGATGCGCCCCACTTTCACCGCTCTCTTAAGCATGTACTGAAAATCCTAGTGAAGCAACAGGGAAGAAGAGGATATAAAAGATGCTATATATATACTGGGGAAGAAGAAATGAAATCATCTTTGTTTACAGACGGTATGACTGTCTATGCAGAAAATTCCAAAGAATCAACAATAACAAAAAAGAAGCCAAAAAACCAATCTAAAACCTCCTAGAATAGGTGATTATTAATAGCAAGGTTGCATGACACAGGTTTAATACACAAAAGTCAACTGCTTTCTCACATAACAACAAAGGATAATGGGAATTTGAAATTAAAAACACAGCATTGATTGTATTAGCATGAAAGTATAAAAGACTTAGGTATAAACCTAACAAATTACGTAGAAGAGCTACATGAAGAAAACTACAAAACTCCAGTGAAAGTAGTCAAAGGAGACAACCCCCCAAAATGGAAAACTTATCCATGGTCATAGATAGGAAGATACTATTAAGATATATCAATTTTTCCCAACTTGATCCATAGATTTAGCAACATTCTGGCAAATTATTTTGTGGATATCAACAAACTGATTGTAAAGTTTATAGAGAAAAGCAAAAAAAAAACAGTATCACCAACAAAATACTAGAGAAGTACAAAGCAGGAAGACTGACACTATCTTCTGTCAAGACTTACTATAAAGCTACAGTAATCAAGACAATTGGGTATGGGCAAAAGAAGAAACAGACAAATCAACAGAACAGAATATAGAGCCCAGAAATATGGCCCCCAACTAATCTTTGAGAAAGGAATAAAAACAAGTCAATGGAGGAAGGACAGTCTTTTCACCAAAGGGTGCTGGAACCACTGGTCACTCACATACAAATGAACAAAAACAAAATAAAAAATTTAGATACAGACCTATACATCTCACAAAAGTTAACTCAAAATCAATCACATATCTAAATGTGAAATAAAAATTACTACAACTACACAACTTTTAAAGGATAACAGTGGAGAAAATCTAGGTAGCCTTAGGCTGGGAGATGATTTTCTACATACAGCACCAAACAATGAGCCATGAAAGAAGAAACTGCTAGGCTGGACTTCTTTAAAATTAAAACTTGTGCTCTGCAAAATGACTATTAGTAGAATGAAAAGAGAAGCCACAGACTGGGAGAAAATATTTGAAAATCAATTATTTGATAAAGGAACAGAATACAAAATGTGCAAAGAACTCTAAAAACTCAACAACATAAAAATAAACAACCCAATTAAAAATAGACAAACAATCTGACCTGTAACCTCATCAAAGAAAATGTAGAGCATATAAAAAGTAAATAAGCATATGAAAAGATTCTCACTGTAATAAGTCATCAGGGAACTGTAACAATTAGATACCACTATACAACTATTAGAATGGTTTAAATCGAACATACTGACAATATTAAACGTTTCCAAGGATGTGGAGCAACAGAACTTTCATTCATGGTTGATTGATGGCAATGCAAAATGGTATAGTTATTTTAGAAGATGGTCTGGCAGTTCCTCACGAAATTAAACACAGGTTTACTATATGATCTAACAACTGTGTTCCTAGATATTAAACCGGATGAGCTGAAAACTTGTGCTAACACAGAAACCCACACATAAATGTCTATAGCAACTTTA